GCTGGAAAACCATACCCATATATTTTGTATTGTTATGTACATTATCAGCTCATCAATTAAATATTTATCATTGCATATTCTGCTTTATTGGATGTTTTTTAATAAAAAAAAAAGTTTTTTTTTTTATTAGAAAAAGTTTTAGGGCTGGACGATATGATGATATATATAGGCTATATATAACACTGATATAAGTGATCACCCGGATTTAGACCTACCTATATTATATTTATATAAAGCGTTCACAGGCAAATTTGCTTTACTTTTAGGTTTTGGTTTATTTCCCCGGTGTCGAAATCAGGCAAACATAAATGTCAGGCAACACGATTCCCGGCTGCATGTCAATATCCATGGATCGCTGGATCTTTAGTAAGTTGTAAGGAACACTATATTGAGTCCAACATTTAGTTTAAATTGATAAAATTGTTCGATTTAGTCGCATTTCCACAGTTTTCCCCTATCAAATCCAGTCACGCAGCAGATCTTTTGCCACTTGGTCAGGCTGAGGGGGGTTGTCACGCGGGAAAGTCACGTGTCAAATGCATTCCCTCTATACCCTATATAGTCCACTCAATGTATCCTAGAATCCATTTTGAAAAGTAGTGTACAACCGATGGTCACTAGCCTACATAGCATCATGCATTGCGCTGATCGTAAAAATAAGTTATAATCATGTGTGGAGTAGCGCATTATAACAGAAACGGCCAGAAATGACTTTTAGTTTTGAAATTTTGGAGAAATAAGCTCAATATAATGTAATGTATTTATTTTGAAAAATCTATTTAGCCCAGAGCCGGCTCTGTACCAGCTGATAGATGATGTAATCAACGGCTCCGAGACACGATCGAGTAGTGTCCGAAAGTGGTGTTTCTATTATGCTGGTGAGCTCACTATATAGTGCTCTACTCCCTACCCCATATACTGTATAGTAGGGAGTACATATATACATAGACATATATATATATATATATATATATATATATATATATATATATATATATATATATAATATCCACCTTATTCTGCTCTAAACAATGCGCGCTGCCATGCCGACGACTCCGGTTGCCAACTTCCGGTTCGAGTCTGGTCTATGCTTTTTTGCCATGTGTTTTAGATTGTGTCATACCCACATCGCTAAACTAAATCGAGAAAAAAAAAAAAAAAAAAAAACATTCATCAAATGTGATCTGATCACGTTATTTATTTTTTTTACATTACAGATAAAAACAAAATTAACATTTTTCTTTTCTTCATAACTTCCAAAGGATATAGCTGATGCATGACTGCACAATCTCCCAAATCCAGCAAACATCCAACAGTTTCTATCACTCCGACTGCTGCAGAATAACAGTACGGTTAGGCTGGTTAGCCCTTTGACTGCTATATACCTCTGCTTTCAAAGATGCATAGTCTATATATTTGTCACTCAGGTCTGTGAGGTTCGGCATAACGTTATGCCGAGTTTCATTCATGAGACCAAAGTCCAGTTTGCGCACCGTCGCCTCCGTCATGATCATCCATTGTTTACTATATACTTCTTATTTATTAAAACCAGGCAATTGGTCGATGAAACATTGATTGAAATAAAGATACAATTAATAAAAACAAAATTCACTTTAAAGAAAGGTTTAATTTGTGTTTTTTTCTTTAAGATCTCTGAAAGTTTTGAAGTCGCTTTCAGAACGGTCATGTCCGTGAATGTAAAACGCATGTGTAGACTGATATTTTTCTAATGTCTCTGGATCACTGATCTATATAATATATCATTGTATATAGATGAGTGGTCTGGACTAGAGTGCTAGCATTACTTCAACAGGAAGTAGAAAACCATTTAGTCAGTTGCTATGAATCATGGGAAATAGAACGGGCGCAGAAAAAGGTGGATACTCTCCAGGAACGGGACTGACTGTGTTCTTAGAGTAATTGAAGTAACACTAAAATACTCAATTTAAAGTGCTTTAAAAAGAAAGGCTGCATTAAGAATACATGAACAGCATTTAGACCAGGTTGAAATCACAAAAATGTGCCTGAATAAAAATCTTCAGGCATTTTTGAGTAAAAGTTGGCAAATAGACTATTCTAGGGGTATTTTTTATGCTGAATCCATTTTTGCTGTTTGCCAAGCTCTATCTCTTACGTGAAACTCAGTGGAGTGTAAAATTCAAGATGACCGCCTCATACGCCAAAATGACCAAATTTTTCAGCACTAGCTCAAAGATAAACAGTTTTTATTGTGATATAGCATTAATTGAGTAAAGGAAACAAACTGAATAGTCAGAACTTACAATATTTCTGGTAAACACTGACCTGTTATTTTGTGTATTTGAGTATGGCCATGTAAGAAGATCAACATCATACTGGTGGCTGCAAAAGGCCTATATCTTAAACCATCATCCTATTACATTATGTTAAGAGTGTTTATTACTTTTCAATATTTACATGTCCATGTAAACAAGTTTAAGGCCTGAAAATTCAACTAAACTCAACTAAATTTTCTTTTGGGTTATTTATGGAAAAGATATTACCAGAAAGATTGGTTGTAAATATTACAAATTGAGACAAATGACCAAATTACCAACACATATCAAGGTGTCACACCACACCACTAACATTAGCTTTGAACAGATAAAGGAAATACAGGAAACTTGGCATAAAATTACCTTATGAAGTTGGACAGTAGCTGAATACTAACTAAAATATGAACTGCATGGCATATAAAAGTGAATGTGAATTTAAACAATGGAACGACAAGATTCTCAAATATGATCACAACAACATAGAGCAGTGCTCTTATTCAGTTCAGCAACTGCTACATTCTGCATCACTTTTCTTGCACTTGCATGCAGCAGAGCAATGCAGACGAAACTTTTTACATTTACATCGTGCACTCATACATCTTGAGGAGCAGTTGCAGCTGATCAATTCCAAACAGTAGTCTGGGACTGGAGGGAGTGACATCAAGATGGGCAGCAGCGTAGAATCTTCCAGTCTTCACCCCACTGGCGGAGGAAGACATACCGCTTGTTTGCTTGAAGGACCTTTGCCTGCCCTGGACCCTATGACAATGCAGTGCTGAAGTGCCAACTAGCCTCTCCCTATGGAGGATCCCTATTCCACTCTACTGATAAAGCATTGTGGGAAATTCGGTTCGCGTACCAACCCGAAGTGATAAAATAAAATAAAATTCTGTATCAAAATTATAGGCAAGACAAATAGTTTATTTAGGCATGATTTGTAGGGAATTACAAACCTGCACACATATATTCAAATGCACATAACTATAGAATCAACTTTTAATGCGCATGTGAATGCCATCAGCGTTTATCACAGGTTCAGTTTAAAGTCTGTTTACAGGTTCAGTTTAAAGTCTGTTTAGAGAGAGCGGCGTCGTCTTAGCTGACCCTAATTTGAGTTCCATATAAGCTTAATTTAAAATGCTTTGTCAACTGTAAGGACCACGTGTTGTTGACTGAGTGCTGTTGCAGTGTGCCTGCATCTCTGTATTACTGTGTTGAGTAAGTTCATTGGCGGAAGCTTGTACAATTGGCATATAGCCAATACTTGTGACCTCTGAGTTGGTCGGGAAGATTGTCTGATTGAAATTGGTCTAACCTGTCTTAATATCTGCATCTTGCCATTTGATGAAAAACGCCATGTCCTTGGAAAGTGCTACACATGCTGATAGATTATCAAGGAGTTCTTCATTGTACCAAGTTGGTTTGTATAATTGATCCTGGTTCTGTTTTTCCTGACACAACTGCAGCTGGAGAACGTTGTTCCATGATTTCAGGAACTTGAAGACTAGTCTTTGTAGATGGATGGAGATCATTCAGTCCCATGTCTTCTTCTGGACCTCTGCCATCCAGCGACTTGAGTTGTATGAAAGCTGTTTTTACCATCAAAACTGCCATCATTGATGTCAATATTGTCACATGTGAAGTGCACAAATCTGTTGGGTACAAAGTTTGGTGGAACCACTGCTCCTGTATCCACGTCCATTGTAAGAAGTGCTCTCTCCTCCAAAGCTGTATCAACCTGTTTTAAGTTGTAGCTTATGAAGTGACCAGCCATGTGAAACAGCTCAACCAGTTCTTTTGATCTGGTAGCTTGGTGCAATGTGTTTGCTAGACCAATATTGGGAGTCCAGTGTTTACCACAACTGAAGTTGTACACTAGGTCTTGAGCAACACTTAAGAACCTTACTTTGAGTGTCATCTTTTTTATTTTGAGCAGCACCATCATCATGATCCACTTCTAAGAGACCCTGTCCACCAAACAATAAGCGAAGGAACATGAAAAGGCTCTCTGGATTGCATGATATTATTTTCTCTTCTCTTACTACAAAACAATGACATTGACGGGTCAGACTTCAAACTACACACAGCTTCCATATTGGTGTGGTGATCTTATAATCTGACCAACTTCATGGGTACAATTCCACAACTGGAAATATTTTGTGTCGGTTCATGTTGCTCTTTAGATATAGAAATTAATTCTGATGAAAAATACGATGTGTGTGGAAATAACTGCAGAAAGTAATAGAAATAGAAAGTAGAATAAAAAACCTTATTGATAACTCCGAACTCAATTTTGACCCAAAGACAATAGCATGTGACTCCAAACAAATGACTACAATGAGAAATAATTAAATTATCATTGTCACATACAAATTACCTTAATTCCCACCTAAATAAACTTTATATACTCATTAATTGATGTTGTGTATGATGTTAAGTTTTAAAATATGGAATTTCCTGACATTTTAGAGGTCATCTTGGACTTTGCGCTCTACTGAGTTTCACATAAGAGATACAGCTTGGCAAACACCAAAAATGGATTCAGCAGAAAAAATACCCCTAGAAAAGTCTGTTTGCCAACTTTTACTCAAAAATGCCCGAGGGTGTCACATTATCTGAAAATCGACCTAGTCTAATTGCAATTATTTGCAAGTTAAATGTTTGGTCAGAATAAACCAGTAGCCTACTGTGGTTTGTCTCTCTAAGATGCCTACACCAACAACGAGGTTGTCTACATCTGGACAGCGGATGATGAGAAATCTGTTTCTGTGGCTCCTGATGGCTCTAGACTCAACCAGTATGACCTGTTGGGCCACGTCATTGGCAAAGAGACGATCAGCTCCAGTACAGGTAATTACTGTTCTCTTTTGTGCCAGTCATATAGGGTTTTTTTCTTTCTTTCTTTTAATATCCAATTGTAAAGGCAAAACTTGGTAGAGATTGAGTGAAGTTATCAACATCCTGACACACAAGTCAAAAATGTGAGTGTGTCTGGTCACTTCTATTTCACCAGATCAGCAAGAGGACTGTTCATCATGTGTATGTATCACTCCACTTGTTTCTGCTCATTCTAGACTGGCAGCATGTTGTCCAGCGAACAATAATGATGGAGGAGAAAATCCACAATCATTTTCAAAATACTACTGATGTTGTCACGGAATGTAGTTTCAAATCTAATCTGCTGTTTACTTATAAAGATTGTGCATATTTGAACATTTAGGTTGAGGTAAGGATGTACAGTAAAGCAAAAATGCCAATAATTACTGATGTAGTAGGGATTTAATAAAGTGTAGCAGTAAAATGTAAGGTAATGCAGCCCGCCAGGATGCCCTCTATGGTGCAACAATAGAAGTTAGTCAAAATTTTTGAGTGAAGGCCAAACTTCTTTAGCATCCGCAGGAAGAAAAGACATTGTCGAGCTGCTCTCACTTCTTGTGTCTGTATGGTGGGACCAGGAGAGACAATCAGACACCATGTGGACTAGGGCTGGGTATTGAGACAAATTTCACAATTCGATTCGATTTCGATTCACAAGCTTGCAATTCGATTCGATTTCGATTACGATTCGATTCGATTCAATATCGATTATTATGGATATCAGTTACAATAAATGGCAATTTTTCTCAAGGGAATCAAATCTCTTAAATGCTGTAAACTATGGTCTATATATATAGTCTAGTTGTAGCCTACTAGGCTTCATTAGCCTAATATGAAGGTAATAATGAACTGTTTTGTAGCTATACAAACACTTAAATTACACTTTTATTTATTTTTATAATAAGAAGATTATATGAAATATAAACATTTAAATGGTGGCGGTCATAAAAACTTGCCAGATTTATTCAAATATGCATTAAATATTGAAGAACACTAACGAGTGTGGACTAACGAGTTTATGTGGGTTTTCTGAGGTAAATATGACGATACATGACACTGATTACAAGCTGTTTAATTGACGTCTTTCCACGGTTGAAACGCAGATTGAGCGAATCAATGTGACATGATACGGATTTTGATAAGTTGTACTCTATCTTTTAACACACTTTCAGATGCTCATTCATGTTTAGTTCGCGCTGTGACTGGTATTATTAACCCGGAAGAGAGATCAGCGCTGCTGCTTCTCTGGAGCTGCGCCAGAGCGATCTCACGCCACAGCGCCAAAACGGCAAAACGCAATTTATGTTTTTGAATTTCTAAAGAAAATGGACGTAATTTGAAAATTGAGACTTTGTTTCATATCAATAGTAACAAAGCAGGACAAAGATTATTGCGATTTGTTGGATGCGCGCAGCCGCGATACAATGTCTCATTCATTCAAAAGAAACAGGATGACTAATCGATTCTTGAGATTTAAGAATCGATATCGGTTTGTAAAAATGAGAATCGATTAATATCGAGAAATCGATATTTATTACCCAGCCCTAATGTGGACACCAAGGAACTTTTAGCTTTTGACCTTTTGAACCTCCACTCAGTTGATCTATAATCCACAATCATTTCCTTTGTTTTGCTGACATTCTGGAAAAGGTTATTGTCATCACACCATGCTGTGAGTCAATTGGAGATGAGGCCTAAGGTGCTTGCAATCATAAACTTTCAGATAATATTTGATCTGTGTTTTGCCATGCAGTCATATGTTAACAGGGAGTACAGAAGGGGGCTAAGAATGCATTCCCCTGGAACACCATTACTGAGTGTGAGTGTGGAGGACAATGCAGTTGCACTTGTGAGAAAGTCCAGAATCTAGTTGCACAGTTGGCTGTTTATTATTTGGGGAGGATGTTGATGTTGAATGCAGAGCTAAAGTCAAACAGAAGTAGCAGAGGGCAGCTGTCATAGTCAGCAGTAACTTTCACCACCGGAGGTGTGCCGTCAGCCTCAAACTGAACATAGAAGTTGTTAGGCTCATCTGGTAAGGAGGTTGAAGTACCTAAAATGTAATCGAACAATCTCTCCCTGTAGGCTCGTTTGGCAGCTCTAATAGCTTTTTGAAGGTCATGCCTAGACTTTTTTTGTAAGCTATGAATTAACAAGAGTCAAAAGCAGTGGCCAGGGCTTCTGGATGGGAAATGTCAATACATAGACAGTTGTGAGAACATCCTCTTTGTTAACTGATCACAGAGTCTGTATATTCATTAATGTCATTGGCTGTTGAATTCTAAAACATTTCCCATTCTGTGGATTCAAAGTAATCATAGAGTCTGGAGATGACACTCCATTTGTGGATTGGTCTGAGAGTTTTTTTCTTTCTTTCTTTATTTTTTTTTTTCAGTTTGAGCCATTGTCTGTATGCAGGTAGCAGCAGTATGCTAATATGGTCACCTTCACCAAAGGCAGGCCAGGGGAGGGATTTGAAACTGTCTTTCAGTTTCATATTTACATATTTAAGAATAACTTTCCTCATGTTATCTGTATTAAAATCCTTACAACAATAAAAGGGTGTTTCTTTTCCAGTCCATTTACAGTAAAATAGAGATAATCTAGAGTTTTGGTTTTCATCCATTACATGTAGAGGTAACACTTTAGAATACGGTTCCTTCGTTAATGAATAACTACACAAGAACTAATGAGTAACACAATATTAACAATTTAGTAACTATTATTAACTAACAAGAAACTCTGATTAACAAACTAGTAAGTAATAGCGCACAGATGAAAGTGGTAGTTCACTATTAAGTAATCAATAACTACTATTTTTTTAATACTTCCCAGAGAACTACTGAAAAAGTTTATTAACAATCTAGTAACCACTATTAACTATTATATATTATAAATTATATATTATATTGATCCGTATTATAAAGTGAAGATCATTGGAACTAATTAGTAATGACTCAAGTGTTACTACATGATCTAGTCATGATTTGTGCAAACGTTTGAGATTTTTGGTGAACTTTAGTATACTTTTAGAAAATGTCTTTAGTTACACTTGAGTCATTACTAGTTAGTTCCAATGATCTTCACTTTATAATACAAATCCAAATAAAGTAATTCTCACAGAAGTATCTAGTAACACTTTCATCTGTGAGCTATTACTTACTAATTCGTTAATAAGAATTTCTTTTAGTTAATAGTAGTTACTAGATTGTTAATAAACTTTTCTCTGGGAAGTATTAAAAAATAGTAGTTATTGATAATACTTAATAGTGAACTACCACTTTCGTCTGTGCGCTATTACTTACTGGTTCGTTAATCAGAGTTTCTTGTTAGTTAATAATTGTTACTGGATTGTTAATATTGTGTTACTCATTAGTTCTTGTGTAGTTATTCATTAACGAAGGAACCATATTCTAAAGTGTTACCCATGTAGATTGCAGTTAGAACTAGAATGTACATTTCCAGACGAAAATGTGAAGTGGTGCTTGCAGTGGCAAAAAGCTCGCTCGGTTGCTAGGGTGTTCTGGGTGGTTGCTAGGGTGTTCTGGGTTGTTGCTAGGTGGTTGCTAGGGTGTACTGTGTGGTTGCTAGGGTGTTGCTAGGCGGTTGCTAGGGTGTTCTGAGTGGTTGCTAGGGTGTTGCTAGGTGGTTGCTAGGGTGTTCTGGGTGGTTGCTAGGGTGTCATGGGTGGTTGCTATGGTGTTGTTAGGCAGTTGCTAGGGTATTCTGGGTGGTTGCTAGGGTGTTGCTAGCGTGTTCTGGGTGGTTGCTAGGTGGTTGCTAGGGTGTTGCTAGGAGGTTGCTTGGATGTTCTGGTATAGGTGGTTGGTAGTTGTCACAGATGGTTACTATGAAATTTGTAGCATTTTCTTGGCATGATTTAGCACTTAGCTAAACAATATTAGCATGTAGCTATTCTCTGCTAGCATGTGTAGCATGTAGCAAGTCATGTTTGCTAGCATGAGTCAAAAGACCCAACCCCCATCGTGATACAATGTTCTGATGCTGAGATATAGCTGTTACAAAATGGTTGCTAGGGTACTCTGTTTGGTTGCTAGGGAGTGGCTTGGCAGCTGCCAATCATGAAGCTCCAAAGTCAATGTGAATGTATAAACCAACCCCCATCTCTATACGATGTTCTGATGCAGAGATGTAGGCCTTGCAAAATGGTTGCTAGGGTACTCTTTTTGGTTGCTAGGGAGTGGCTTGGTAGCTGCCAATCATGAATCTCCAAAGGCTGCTTGTCAGTATAATTGATATAATACAACTCCCAAGCCTGTATGACATTCAGAATGGAAGATATCCCTCTTTAAAATTTGGTTGCTAAGGTGCTCGATAATGGTTGCTAGGGTGTGGCCAGAAATTGTTGAGGTGATTCATGATTGGCTGTTTGCTACCCCGAGTCAAACGAGACCACCCTTGTGTTTCTATGACACTTCTATCCGGAGATATCCATTTGATCTCTTTCAATGGAAGTCTATGGGAGTTGTTGCTAAGGTGCTCTATATGGTTGCTAGGGCGTGGCTTGATAGCTTCACAATGATCCTGAGAGACTGATTGGTCGTCTGAGTAAAATGAGCCCGCCCCCTTGTCTCTATGACACTATGATCCAGAGCTATGTTCAATACAAAACCCTATGCAATTTACCATAGTAGGAAAAACACATGCATTTGATGGGACATCCTTCACCATAGTAAGTCAATGGGGAAAATTTTGGGTAGCTCCTGCCCCCCAGGGGTGCAACTTTTACCCCATTGTGAGGTATGTTCTTACAGAGGCTGCCAGCCTCTTCAAATGTGGCAAATCACACGTTTTTCCGAAATCGTTGTTCGGAGCTATGAGTCGTCAAAGTTTGTCTCAATGTTAAGTCTATGGGATTTTTTGGAAATTTGTTCGCCCCTGGGTCGAACACCGTACCCCCGATCTCTGATAAAAGTGATAGGACACTTCTCTTCAATAGGCCGCACGATTTG